ACACTACCCATAATCCTCAGCTATCGTTTAGGACTACACCAGCCGCTTTGCTTGACAAACCCCGTGATTAGTCCTCAAGCTCTCTGATTGGATGTTGGAGTGGCAGTGCGCGAAGTTTACACCGAGCGTCAAACAGCTCTTTGAAATGGAATGAAACCACGGCACACTATCCAAAACTGGACTCGAACGTGTCCACCCCCCCCACCCCCCAGAACTACACATGCTGGCTATATGTGTGTTTCGCAACATGTTCTATGGCGCGTCTCTACTGGGAATTGTAGTTTTCGATCACCTTAAGATAAGATAAGATATACTTTATTGATCCCAAGTTGGGAAATGTTTTTGTTACAGCAGCATGTAAAACATGCAATTTATTGTTACTTTGTAATTCTCTAATCGTTCATTAAAAACTGTATATAATGGCTATTTTGCACATCCCTTTCAAGATTTCAAGATTTTCAAAGGTTTATTGACATATCATATACACAACTACGGTGTAGTTACGCAATGAATGAAAAACTTGGGTCGCAGGTTCCTCAAAAGTACATTACAAGACATCTATCAATATGTGTGTATACCTCCATCATTAAACTGTCATTCTGCACATTTCATCTTATAAGAGTATAATAAATATGTATAATATTGGTTAAAATAAGTGCTTCAACATAGTTAACATTGCACGAAAGTTGATTGTCAAGTCCCAAAACAAACCATGCAATTAGACTTTAAGTACTTTGTCAGGCTTAATATTTATCTGTAGATACCCCCAAAGCTTTTTGCTTACATGTATTTAAAAGAAGACCTTAACTTAAAGTATTATTTAATGTTTTAATGAAGCCTAATTAGTTTGTCTGTTTTGCACATCCTCCTATTAATATCTTTGTACATCCGGCACTAAACTGTTTTATTCTAGATATCATTGATATTTTCTATTCTATATTTCTATCATTGACCTTCTACTTTCCCCCTAATTTGTATGTACCCTTAATATTTAAATGTTTTCATCAAATATAACACATTCAACAAAACATGCAGCAGACCCTAGGCAAGGCAAGGCAAGGCAAGTTTATTTATATAGCACCTTTCAACACAAGGCAATTCAAAGTGCTTTACAAAAATGAAAGACATTAAGAAAAAGGCATTTAAAAACAGTAATTAAAAAGCAACACAATCTACCTGCATTGCAATTACTCTAAACGTGTAATAACGTGCTTGAACTAGTAGGTGGTTTGGGTTAAAAACGTTTACAGTGTTAACACAATAAAATATACTGCTGTTTCTGGTTTAGTTTACGACGGATATATTTTTTGATCCACAGGCGACCACACATATATTGTTTTGATATTTGTAACACAAAAGCGATGGGAAAAACCCACAGCAACACAGAAAATACGGTCTTAACATGAACCAGCGGTCTAGTTAATAAAAAATAATAATATCAAACAAAATATTACTATTAACTTTATTGTGAAATTAAAACAGAACGGTAAAAGAATAGTTTCCGGTCTATTCTGAGGCCCAATCTCTGTAGATAAATAAAGAACTAAACCAGCCGAACCATTTATTACAATGCATTTATGTGATGAATTTCAAAGAGTAAAGCAAGCACTAGCTGAATAAAGTATGATTTTATCTTTTACGAAAGTTTTTTTTTTCATATGGAATACAGTCGGAGGTCTACCAATCACAGAACTTGAGGACTAATCACAGGGTTTGTCGAGGAAAGCGCATGGTGTAGTCTCAAACGATAGCTGAGGATTATGGGTAGTGTACTGTCTTCTGCCATCCTAAACTCCGATACAACTATTTGTTTCTCAGAGTCGAAGGGGAAAAACACAAAACCATTGTACACAATATAAACCAATCAATGTTGTGTCATTAACAAGGATAATCTGGTGTTTTTGAGTTGAGTAGTGCAGATATCACTGTAAAATCAATCGACAGTAAGGAGAATACTTATTTCCGGGTGTAAAATTCTCCGTTATCCAATGGGAATGGACGCTCACATTGCCTTTAAATGCCACCGACACAAACGAATGCGGTGCTTCCCTGAGCGTCAAATACCGCCGCCGATGGGAATACATTGCAATCAGTTGAAAGCTCTTTGCATCCGTTTATGAAGCCGAAGGAGACTCGGTGCGACACAACTGCACGCCACGGGACCCTGACCAAGCGTCGCTATTGGACTATCAGGGAGTGAGAGTGTGTTGACTGAACCCGTAGGTCCAGGGAACTCATTACATTGAACTCCTGAAACTCAGACAGGTTTCATGCTGCGTTGACATTGTTAGGACAGAATCTGAGCTCAGTGTGCCGAGGACAAAGCATCCATCACTTTGAAAGTCTTGTTTAACAAGCTGTCATGGAATAGTGTGAAGTACAGTAGATCTACGAACTAAAGAAATACAGATCCCCTGTCTTCAGTCAGTTATGATAAAGAATAGAAAACTATTATACAGTGTTTTTGCTTCATAAATATTAAGCTAACAATGGTCTTTTCATGCAGTTTTAACCAGCAGTGCTACAGACCCTCTACACAAACAAAAAATATGTGAGTGTCTGTGTGTTTGTGGAATTGAATCGCCAATTTAGATCAGATTAACTCATATACTGCCTCATGTTGCACTCAAGGCCACTTCTTCTGCTTTTAGCCGATGCTTCCACATGGTTTGATGCTGTGTGTTAGCTTTGTCAAGGCTCTTTACATGCACTAGTAGTCTTGCATGTTCAATGTTTTGGATTACAGCATAGTCACCGGAAAACGTTTAAAGGTCAACATCCGCCTCTTGTGTGCGTTTGTTGATTTACTCTGCACTGTGGCAGTTGTGTTGGGCAGCACATGGCCTGGTGTGTGGTCTGAGGCTTAATTTGGGATTAACGCTCAGGATATTACAGATTACAACACTCCGCGTTTGACCTCTCTGTGTCTCGGCAGCCAGCGATGGATGGATGAGCTTTTATCTTTTAGTAGTTACAGCAACTTAAGGCCAGAGCCTCCGATGAAAAGCTTCCAAACATGCTGTGTCACACTGTCAGCATGAAAGGGGGGGGGGGGATTACACACCAGCATATATTTGAGTCATTCACAGACCTCAAGGCTTAACTCAAACCCTAATGAGCTTTCATTCAACAACTTCTTGAGGTTTGCAGAGAGATAGGTTAGGTTTGCAACGACAAAAAGTTGAATATTTACTCAACACGTTTAATCGATGATTGTTGAATAGGTTGGAAAATGTTAAACAAATGATTCCACAACTAAATTCCATTGATGAAGAATATATATTAAGACTTCACAAGGTTTACTTCTACAGTTTAACATATGCAGTTCAATGTATTCTTCATGAAAAGTAACTTTGTTTTTGCTGTTGTATCGACAGGGAAGGTCTACTAAGGTGTCAGTATACGACAGTGCAGGACTGTACAAAATTGTGCACTATTATCCCTTTTGGACAATTCATTGCATCTCGCCGCGCTCTGTCACGGTTTCCACCCCGCCTTTGAGTGAGGCAGTTCAGAAAAGCTATAAACACCACCGCCTTGGATTTGTTCAGAAAATGGGACTCTCTTGTGGCTGTATTTTTTGCCAGAAAAAATAAATCTGCCAAGGAATAACAGGCAAAAGTACTGCTAAATCATTATTACTGGCATTTAAATCAATTTTTATCACCAATAGAAGTAACATTACATTTCAAATTGTATTACTTTTATTTCATTCACTTCAGAAAACATTTTTGTTCCCTTCTTTATCTCTCTCTCGAGTTAGATTCAGGCCCTAGCACAGAAACAAAAATATTTGTTTCCCATGTTTTCCACATTTTCTGTTTACAAAATTGAGTGTACATTTGGTGAACGATACGATTTGCAGTGCATGTCTTTCTCTTCTGCGCTCTCTATCTCTGTCTCACACCCCTGCTGTCATCCGAGGGCCAACTGCCAGCTGCCCCCGTACTTCTCTGTCCTCATCCATATTTGATGTGTCTCATTAAAACTTGATTGTGGAAACACTTCAGCATTCTGACATTCCTTCTGATCCACTATTTAGTCACCCTCAGCACTTCCGAGTGAGATAGCCCCCCTCGGTCATGCGTGTGCGACCTGAGAAAGAAGAAACTTAAACACAAACACTTAAAGTTTTAAAGAAGACACGCTACTTTATCCCTGATGAAAATGCCTGATTTGAAACCAACAGTCTGATGCCTCCAAGTGCACTGAGTAAATGACGACAGTTGGTATTTTAGAGCGGGGTAAACAGACGATAGGAGATGCTTCATAAAACATTCAGTACGACGGTTAAGTTGTTCTTGCTTGTTGCCATCTTACATGCAGGAAATAGAGTTGTCTGCTCATTTTGAGGCAGCATAACAAGGGTTTACCCCTGAATAATGATCACAACCTGCAAAAACAAACATAACTACCCTAAAGGAAAAACAAAATGGTGCCGTCATGACAGCTGGTTGCGTATTATTTATAATAATTGAAAGATCTAAGACCGTTATTTACAAGTAAAATAAAAACAGTAATACATTTTACTAATTAAAGCAAAGCAGAAGAACAATAACTAGCAAATTGTCTTTATAAATTATAACAAAGAAAAGTTCCTATGTCCTTGCTGTTTTAGCAATAACACCAAGTCTTATTAACTGAATTTTGGTCAACACTCATGTTAGCCTCACCCCATTGTAGAGTGATGGGCATCTGCTTAAAGCAAGCACACACACACATGCAAAACACACCTTGCTTGCCTCACTTGAACCCGTATAAGATGCTTCTTTTTAGCCAACACCGAGAACCCATCAATCCTGCTGAAGGCCAGAGTCACACACACCCATGCAAGTGCACACACTTCATTGTTTGACTATTCCACAGTGTAAATATCAAGCCTCTTGTTTAGTCAATGTGAATGCTCACAGGTGGGCGTATGCATTAATACACGTGCCCTGACAAGTGTTTGTGTGTGTCGTGAATGCTAACGTGTGTTTAACCCTGTGTTTGCTCTGCAGAGCCCCAGCTGAAGGGCATCGTCACGCGGCTTTACTGCAGACACGGCTTCTACCTCCAGATGCTGCCGGGTGGCACCATGGAAGGCACAAAGGACGAAAGCAGCTCCTTCTGTAAGTGAACAAACACACACACACACACACACACACACACACACACACACACACACACACACACACACACACACACACACACACACACACACACACACACACACACACACACACACACACACACACACACACACACACACACACCCACAGATCACACAGCTAGTTTGATGAGGGTGTGTATTTCAAAGCTCTGTAATATACAACAAGGAGTTTCCCCTGCTTATATGCCAAAGGACATTTTAAAAGGGACTTCCCAACAGGACGGTTGTAAATCTCTAATTTTTACAGCACATGCATGCAGGATAACACTGCCATGTATGCACACTTGGCAAGGTGCAGTGTGTGAACGCCAGCTAAAAGGCATTTGTTTTAAAATACTGTATATAACAGCAGAACCTCTGCTTAATATGGAGCATAATGTAGGTTTAAACTTGGGGAATAACACGGGATGTCGTTATATCCTAGATAATGTTTTCAACATACTAGTTTAATTTAACTTACATACTATACATCACCAGTGGCGTCGCCTAAGCCCCGAATGTTTTTTCTGTAGCCCCGGACAATTCTCCCTCAATAATATAATCAGGGGTGCACATAACTGGTACGCATGCGCGGCAAAAATCTGAATTGCATAACGTCACTTATGTCACTACGCGCCTTTGCGTACCTCAAAACATCAAAACAAAACACATATTTCGTCTACACGTGTTTCTTGTCAACACTCAATGGAGTAAACTACTAGACATGTAAAAAAAAACAAAGACATTATGCAGCTATGTTGCCGTTTCGCTCCCTGCAAAACGTCTTCAGACTTTCTATGACTGATTGTACTGGGTGCTGTCCGAGCCGCGCAGGACATAACCGACGGACCTGTGAAGCTTTACAGGAGGCAGAGGCTTAGATCACTGTGGAAAACAATGAGACAGAGTCATATGAGAAGCACCTTCTAAGGTGCTTCTCATATGACTCTGTCTCATTGTTTCCTAACTGTGTCTGTGCACATATAAATATTGCATCAAAGTCAATACAACGGAATAGTGTATGTACCAGGGCGCATGATATGTGTGTGTGTTTGTTTGTGTGCAGACAGTGCGACATTAAGATTAAACACATTTCTTTCATTTGGGAACACCCACATATACATATGGAGTTGGCCAGAAGTGTGTAAATTACTGTTCATGGTAGTTTGAAAACAAATGCCGTTGTCGGACACACACACACACACACACACACACACACACACACACACACACACACACACACACACACACACACACACACACACACACACACACACCACACACACACACACACACACACACACACACACACACACCACACACACACACACACACACACACACACACACACACACACACACACACACACACACACACACACACACACACACACACACACACACACACACACAGAGAGAGAGCAGAGCTGATCAGAGCACAAACACACACACACATCATGCGCCTTAGTGACCGGACATCTCTTTCATAAAACGAGTAATAGGGGGTTTAATCGGGCAGTTCGATGTGTGTAGAGGTGTGTGTGTGTAGAGGTGTGTGTGGTTAAAGCGTAGCAGCCTGCGGTCGCTCTTTAGCTGGTGCTGCACTTCTCAGAGGCGGAGTTACATGTCCCGCTGCCTCCTGGTGCTGTAGCGATTTCATGAAGTGAATGAGAGTCCGAGTTCAAAATATATCTAAAATAATGTATGCACTGCCATTTTCCAACAGAAACATTACAGTCTGCAATGAAACGGTTGTCTCCTGTGTGCTCCGATTCCTACTTGGCGCTCCGGTAACTTTCTCGTGCGAACAAGATAAAGTATCTTTTTTTTCAAGTCAAGTCTTTTATCAATGTTAGTCTCGAGTCCAAAAATATGCGACTCGAGTCTGTCAATATGTTATTCAAAAAATCTAAGATTTTTTTAAGAAATAAAATACAACGCATCTTTATTGTAGACTCCGAGTTGTTTCCATATTTCACCAAAGCTAGAGGAACAACTTCTGATCTAGGGTTAGGGTTAGGGATTTTGGGGAAATCAGTGGAGAATGTGAATGCACCATTTGCCTTGGCACAGATGGGCGCCCTCCACAGTTTCAAAATGTTCTTCTCCTCCATTTCTCACATTCATATCAGACTATTTTTCGGATGTCTACATGCACTCAGCTTATAAATGCAGTATTTTAAAGTCACTTAAGCAGAGAGTTCTCTGAGGATCTGAATGGAGACTTTAAGTTTTCGCCCATTATTGCAAAAAACCTGCTGAGGTCCTCTATTGATGAAAACACTCACACACCAACATCACAACCATGTTAACACACTCCTCTCAGGGATGCAGGGTCATCAGCTAGGTGATTACTGCCCAAAACATCATATCCCCTGGATTCCATCCAACCCTCCCAAAGAGATCAATATTGTGTTATAGGATAACCCTGATGTGGCAACACAGCATTTTTTCTGTCATAACACCAGTTTGGAGGGAAAACATGATGCTTGCACAATTTGGATTTATAATCTTCATAAGGAGGAAGTAAAAAAAATGTCACTTGTGTGGTTCTTTCTGTGAACATTTCCTTTACAACAGCACATTTTTAATGGATTTAACCGTGAGGCAAATATTGGGAGTTTTTCCCTCGGCGCTTGTCCCGCAGAAAAAGTATAACAGCATGTTTTATGTGACTTAAGGGGCCTACACACCAAACTGACACCAAAGAACACGTCCCGACGGAACACGACTGTTGTGTCGCCTCACGTCTCCTGCGTCTTGGCCAACAGTCGCACTGGAACACACCGCAAAGACTTCAGCCGACGGCCAAGTAGCACGTACGAACTGCGCATGCGTGGCAATAACTCTCCTTACCAGCAGGCGGCGGTAGTGTGTATTCGTCATTCAAAAGAGGCAACAACCGGAAGACAGACTGCGTGATAACCAAGAGAAGAAGAACAGACTGCGTGATATAAACAAACAACAAATAGCGTGTGCGTTCCATTTTCACTCTACAGCGAGAAGCTTTCCGAGGGCTTTCCTGAACCTGTGTCGAGAGCTGGAGTTAAATGAAATCTCAGATTTGCCTTCTTAATAGTTTGTTTGGGTCCCTCACATCCGTTTCGCTTCTCATGCACTGATTCGCTAAGCTGAACAGCCAATCAGAGTGATTTATTTGGCCGACGGCCTATAGCCAAGAGCCTCCCGATCGGCGGCGGAAGGTGTCGGTACGGCCGAAAAGACACGACGGGGCGGGACACACTAATCTGAGTAGGGCGACAGGCTGCTCAGCGATGGCCAGACATCTATCGACATCTATCGACGGCCGAAATCGGCTTGGTGTGTAAAGAACTTTAGACATTGCCAGGATTGTGTTTGCTGATTCTAAAGTGTTCATTTAGATTTGGACGTGTACAACCTTTCAAGACAGTTCTCTTAAAGACAAGATCCTTTGAAAGAAAGCATTGGGAAAACTTGTGAGAGCCCTTTAACATATGTTTGGATAAATTAGGCCGCAACACCTCAAGAAAGCTCCGCAGTAACTGATTAGACATGCTCTCACCTTTCTCTCTTATGTAACAGCACACCTACACTGAGGCAAACATCGCTGCACTGTGAACTTTGAACATTCTCATGTTCGATCTGAAATATTCATCACATAATACCGTAGGGCACATCCGAAGGCGAGCGGGAAGGGAAAGGTGGATGTAGGGGAGGGAGGAAGTATGGAAGCAGAACAAAATGTGACAAACGTATGGCCTAGCAATACTTTGATCACTAAGTTCCCTCAGGGCTTCTGGAACTAGGCGATAGAGAAAGTTGTTACAAAGCTGGAAGTGATAGTATATCGAAGCTACAAAAGAAGGACAAAAGAGTGTCAGAGAAACAAAAAGAGGGCACGGCGGAATACGCCAGAGAGAACCGAGCCAGCGAGACGCGGTGGGTTGGCAGAGGAAGAGAGAGGAAGTGAGAGGAAGTGAGAGGGAGGGGAGAGAACGTGAGGATGATAGAGAGGAAAGAGATGGGGAGCAATAGGAGCAGCTGGCACACAGGTGATGGCTCCTCCATCACTGTGTCTCCCCCCTCTGGTGGGAGGTCAGAGGAGATGCTCCCCCCGCCCTGCCCCTCTCTCCTTCTCTGCTCTTGGCTCTTCATCGCTGTTATGTAATAAAGCTGGAAGAGGATTGGAGGCAGCAGAAATGAGCATGCTGAGGGAGATGTATTATCTATTTATTAGGCCATAAGGTGATGTTAATGTAGCCCCTTTACAATGAATCACTTATTCTTTACAGTTCGCCAACCATTTTCCGAAGTACCGTTCTAGCAGCCATAGGTTTCCATTCATTCCATTATGGAATGCAGCTTTCTAACCCTAACCATTTTTTTAACAAAGAAATCTCACCCATAACTTGAATGAGGGACTTATGCATCTAGAGTCTTTCTGTAATTAAACCCACTAAGTCTAAAGTGTGTTGTAATTTTAGCATATTTCAAATGGCATACATTGTTAATTGTAGTGCTATGCAGAGTAATTGTAGGGTTCACACGCTGCACATTATGGCTGTAATTTAATTAGTTTCTGACTTTAGGAACTCATTTACATGAGTGCAAATGTTGTGTAATAATTACAAATTGCCTAACAAAACCCATAAAGTATATTATGCTGTGGAAAATTTTAAAAATGTCATGATTATTTCATATTTACAAAAAAAATGAAAAGGTCTGAGGACCCAGGGAACATCTGGATTTTCTTTAAATAATAAAGAAATTCAGTTATAATATAGTTTTGTGTAACAAACGTTATTTTGCGGCCTTTGACCCGTCAGGTTTTATTCAGACCTTTCCCCCTGTTGGGAATGACATTTCCAAGGCCCTGCAAACTTGTTTTCTCTACAATAATTAAATATTCAAGACCAAAAAACAACAACAAACAATTGTTAACGTTTGGGAAAATACCTGTAGTAATTATTTTTTGGGAGTTTTGATTGAAAGTGCTTGT